GACAGATACTCCAGAGGCGTTGGCGAGCTTTTACTACTATTCACAATAATGCAGAAAGGCTCTACGAGGCATTTGAAGTAGCCTCAGCGCAGCTTCCAGGCCTTGACGACGATCTCGACCTCGCAGTCTATCAGTCACGCGTTCCGGTGAACGCTCGCAGGCTCGAGGCGGCACGCCAAACGATTCGTATCTATCCGCCGTGCATAGAGAGGGCGGAGGAGAGCTGTCGTGATCTTGAAACCATTCTTGGCCCATTGGAAGCAGCGGCGCGTAAGGAGCCAAAGACGATAAAGGGGCGGGCAGTGTTGGACTTGGATCTAGGGTCCATGAGGAAGAGTCTTGCGACAACAAGGGAGATGATAGACGTTGCACAGAATCAGCTGGATAATGCGAACAGGGTAATAAGTGATGCAGAAGGAACGCCGTCAGCACCTATCTCGCGGCTCGATCGATAGTTTCAGATGAGTTTTCTAGCATAAGTGTAATGTCTTACGAGGTCAATAGTGTTCTCGCTGTCTTCACGTTGACGCTTTCTGCTTTAGTTCTTATTCTCTTCATGACCTCATCCCAAAGCTTGACTGGCTCTCATACGTACACTATGCCAGTGGTGCCTCACTTCGTCCCAGGCCTTGCCGCCTGAGCATTTCGTCAATAATCTCACGTGACAACACCTCTACGTGCGCTATTGGTACTAAAAGTGGGCGGGTACGAGTCCTAATGTCATGCTCTGGTGACTCATCGGTTTATTGAGGTGGTTGGGAATCCAAGGTGAAGGGCTGTAGGAGGTGAAATGGTAGTGAGGTGGACGCCTACAAACGCCAATCGCAGCACCAGCCTCAGTTTCAAATTTTGCGACTATATTCGAACGATCTTCATAGCGACACATACTTCAAGCGGAGTTCAGTTCTTACAGAGCTGTAGTATCTGTGTCTTATAATTGTAGAGCTGACCATTTTCACAGTCGAGATTGTCGGAGTCTAGCACACCGGTTCCCATGACGACAAACCATCGCGATACCACGACCCCCCTCAAATAAGTCGCAGTCCGCGATTTATGTCTATCATAAACCAGTTGCCAGCGATTCTTAACATTTTCCGTCTACTAAGACGAACAATAGTCAAACCGGGACACTCGTCCACCCGCCCACGGGTGTCCCTCTCACTCACCTCACTCTCACCCAACTCGCTACCAGGCCCCTTCTTTCCGGCGAGTCCACAAAGAATTTTCAACTACTGATCTCTCTTAATTTCTGCTCAGCCTCAATTCCTACAAAGCGCACTCTTCTCAATCTCTTGCAAGAAACCTCACATCTCACACTCTACTCTCCAACAAACCACACACCTCATACACAGATACCACCATCTGAAAACCATGCCTGGCCACTCCAGCATGCAGGCCCTTCCGCCATTCAAGCCCGCCGCCACAGAGGCACAGGTCAAAGCCGCCACTGAATCCCACGACCCGGAGCAAGTTATCCGCAACCTCGTGGATCTCAGCAGTTACCTGATCAGCATCGACGAGCACACCAAAACTGTTCGGGGCCGCCGGGAAAGCACGACCCATACACTCCCTCCCCTCAAAACTCTCCTCAACCGCCTCTACGCTGGCGTCAGGACCCTCAGCCCACTATCCAGCCTGACCAAAGACGGCGCGCGCCTGCGTCAAGATGTCAGTGAACGTCTCAACAAGCCAGTCATCGAGCGTCCTCTCGAGGACTTTGAAGACTTGTACTATGCGCTCCTCGCGCGCCTCCAGGACATGGCTCAAATGCTCACTCTCCGCGTGACCAACGGCTTCAACGCGCCCTCAGAGCCGGTCTTCGAGAATGGCCCCTCCATTGCCGACCTCTACGACAGCCTCATGTCGTACTGGGACATGCTCAACGACCCAGCCTGCGCGCGCGCCCTCGACGACGCAATGCGCCAGTTCCGCGTCGGCGTGCTTTACCGCGAGATCAATGCCGAGCTGGAGGCGCATGTGATTTCCTTCGCCAACGCGGAAGAACTGCTCGCGGAACTTTTCGAGAGTAAGGAGTTCACCGAGGGCATTGCATGGATCGCATCCTGGAGTCCCGCGATGATTGGCGCGTATCTGAGCGAGAAGTACCACGTCGCACTGCGCGTCCAGAGGGAAGAAGACGAGCGCGTGGAGCGCGAGAAGCGCAAGCGCATGAGTTTCAAAAAGCCTTTGGGTAGCATGATCAAGCAGCGCAGCTCGGAGAGGATGCGTCGAGGGTCGGCGAAGCAGGCGCACTTTGTTCACCAGCGTGGTGCAGTGGGTTACCCGACACACCAGCATGTGGTTAACGATCACGAGCGCATTCGTCAGGAACAGCATCCATCGCGATCGGGAGTGGCAACTCAAGTCTCAGCGCGTGTCGGATTACTCCAACTACCTTCGCGGGACGGCTAGCCATGATGCTCAATCGATCGTTAGGTCAGTTTCTGGTAGCTCGGGTCAACAGACGCCAGAGACAGACGGAGATGAGATGGAGATTTGAAACGAATGGGGGTCTTTGGTATGTTAGTTGGGTACTCATCACGACGCTTACAAACGGTTGATGGGATTTGGAGGATGATTATATAGATGACAGAAGCCCCGAATGATCTGCATGATCTCGAGATGGTCTCGTCGAATCGAATCAACACTTTACCGAATCTTTGCGGCAAAACACTTGTCGTTGTCGCTGCTGTCACACTCCGAGCCAGCTTCGAGTGTGTCGTTTTCTGTGCCAGTGATGATCCTGGGCGGTATCACAACGGGGATGCGCCACTTGTCGTTGTTCGTCTGTTTGATGGATTTACGAGATACTTCACGGCAGCCATGGAGAGCGAGATACTGTTCTGTCAACCAGCATTAGATTGAAGTGTTGAGTTTGTCTTACCTGTAGTGACTTCCTCTCCCCGATCGCCTTCAAGGCCGCTTCATCCAGGATGGTGTCGCATGTGGAGAATATGATGAAGGGAAGAGAAGGGGGAACAATTTATGCATAATGCTGGACGACAAACTGAAAGGAAGGGAAGAAAGTTTGAGATGATTTGCGACAAACAAGAATCAAAATGTCTCTTGCAATAGCATTGGTAAACTGACCCCAAGACCTGCTAATGCCCACCATGCATCACTAAAGATGCAGCTTGGCGTTCGCTCCTCGCTCACGTTATATGTACATGTCTTCGTGTCTCTGTTCATGGTGTTATACAGGCCTCTGTCCGCTCCAGGATGTCCTCTTCTCCGCTTTTGGCACGTGTCCGTGGCTAGTTCTTCGCGTCGCGAAGGGTGTTGAGACTTCGGTATTGGCGCTGCAACATGGTGGGTGTTCGGTTGATTCTGCTGAAAGCCTCGGTGGCAATGGGCGAGCTGTCCGTTCGGATCGTGGTACCGATGGCCATGAAGAAGCTACCGGCGACTGTCAGCGCTTGGATGATACCATTTGACGCGGCGCATACCCAAAGGTCGCGGCTGATCCCATCATGTACTGTCCCAATGTTCGCAGCATTCCGTTTGGCCCGGGACCGAAGCGGACAATATTGGTGAAGCCTGGACGGTCAGAATGAGTATTTAGGCGGGCAGACTATGCGCACCGAATATGAAGCCAATGATGAGGCCGACGGCTGCTCAGATGTCAGGTTACAGTGCATCATAATCGTCTGCATGCGACATACATCCACCCATCATGCCACCCATCTTCACTGCGCGCTGTTAGCCGGTCTGCTACAAGTTGCAAATGGCTGTTTCATACGCTTGTCAAGTGTAGACGGGCCACGCGCCCCTTGCGGCATGGACGAAACAGGTACCGGCATACTGATTGCTACGCTGTGAACCTTTAATCGAGCAAATGCGGAGAAGAAACTCGGTGGTCTCTATAGCTCGGCCGTCCCACTTCAAGCTCTCGGGGCGGCTCGTGCACCCGCCAAGACGAGCACCACTGCACCCCAGGAAAGAAGAACCATGGAATGCATGACGGAAGCTAACGTCCACATGTCAGTGTCGACAGTATACAGTGTCCGCTGATACGCGTGTGTGTAGTTGCGATGCAATCTAGGCTGTTGCAAGTCGAACCTTAGAAATTGTCTTGGTCACTCTCTACCTCTGACGCAGCCAACTCGCTTGCCGCGCGGAGCACGTGACTTTGGATGCCCTTTCACTTCGCCGCAGGAATGAAGCGAACCGCCCCAGCATTGTCTTATCATCCCGTAGTATAGCGTGTTTGTCGTTCCAGCAACAATCCTGTCCTCAAACCCTTCGTGACCGTGCCGTCGTCTCTTCTACAACCACATCACGCCTGCTTCTCGCACACCCCAGGGCTGGCCAGTCAGCGTCGCAGCAGTGGGACAAGGCCCGACGACAACGACACCTCACTCCTGTCTCCTTAGACCACCCGCATCCGAAGACGCTCCCACCGCCCATCGCCACGCCCGATCCGCGGCCATTTTCGCATATTCGACATTCTCCAGGCCCTGCTGCCGTGCTCTGCGCCAGTCTGCCGCGCCTGCATCGCCCTGACGTCGCACGGGCTTCCACGACCAGCACACGACATTCGGCCACCGCGCGACTCCCTCCACTTCCCACCCGCTGCACCGCCCGACCTCTGCATCATTCCGCGACGCATGAGTTCTTGATCCGACTGTCGACTGTCGCTGTCGCCTCTGATTGCCTTTGGTGTTGTGACGCTGCCGTCAAGCCGCTAAAGCGGAGAGGACGGGCATCTCGAGAAAAGTGTCCCTGAACCGCAGCGGCGTGTTGCTTCCGACTCCACCCCAATGACGGCAGTCGCGCTCCCCCAGAACCTCAATCGGCAGCCATGGAGCGCCGAGGCAGGTAACCCCAACGGAGCCTTTATGCCGCGTAAGAGCGCCCAGCGGTCAAATTCCAGCTCGTCGCTGTCGTCACAGGCGTCGACAACATCAACCATATCCGCCGCCTCGTCACAGTCCAACGGCGTCGCGCCGCCCAACGGCACCGATCCAGCGTGGGCTGCCCGCAAAACGAAGGCCCCCAAGGGACTATGGCCCGCGACCAAGACTGAGCCCATCGCCGGAATCACAACAGCACGACCCCAGCCCGTCGCATCGGCAGGCCCAGGCTCGTCAGCAGCATCCGCCATGAGTGCGCTGCAATCACCCGCTCCTATGGTTCCCTCTCAGAGCAACGGCGCTGTACAGGCGCAGCAACAAAATGGCGTGCCGAGGGCTCAGGGCCAAGAACAGACCGCCGTGCTGCACCTCATGCCCATGAACGGCACCTTCGAACGCAAGACCATCACCGTTCCCTTCTTTCCCGACGTCCTTCGCATTGGACGACAGACCAACAATAAAACAATACCCACACCTTTGAACGGCTACTTCGACTCAAAAGTCCTCTCGAGACAGCACGCTGAAGTATGGGCGGATCGACAGGGCAAGATTTGGATCCGAGATGTCAAATCGTCCAACGGAACGTTTGTGAATGGTGCTCGGCTGTCGCAGGAGAACCGGGACTCTGACCCACACGAGCTGCGGGAGCAAGACATGCTGGAACTCGGCATCGACATCGTTAGCGAAGACCAGAAGACCATCGTGCACCACAAGGTCGCTGCCCGCGTCGAGCATGCCGGCATATACGCGAGATCCGCAGGCGATATGATGGACCTTAACTTCGGAGAACTGGAGAACCAGCAAATGGCCAACATGATGGGGCCCAATGGCCAACAACAACTAGCCAACATGCGTGGCCGAACACCAAGCCAGGGTTCAATTAACAGCCAGCGGATGCAAGGCCCTGGCGCCAACCCTGCGTATGGTAATGGCATGCAGCAGCCACGACATCCCAACTTCTGGCTCCAGCCTATCACCATGGAGCAGGTAGTGAAAAAGCTGAATGTAAGTCGATCGTCGCGCGCATGATGAAAAATACTAAGACTCCCAGGCCGAGATCAAAGCTGCCAAGCAACAATCACAAGAGCTCCAGCAGACCCACCAGTACATCAACGCTATTCTGACTGCGGATCCCAAGAAAGACTCTACCAAAGCGTCCCCCATTGACCCAACCAAGATCTCTCCCATCAAAGATAACAGTCTGAAGGCGAGATTCTCAGACCCTCCCGCTCCGCCACCACAGCAGCCACTGCCTGCCAAACCAGACGCCGCATCCTCGCTTAGAAGGTCGGACACTGAGCGCCAGAAGACAGGATCACCCGTGCGGTCGGATGTGCAGATGTCTTCTCTGAACGAAGCATTGACCAGTGCAAAGAAAGAGATCGAATCACAAAGCGTTCGACTCCGAGACTTGGAAGCAATGCTGACTGAGGAACGACGGGCGAGAGAAGACGCCGAGGAACGTGCCAGCCGACTCGAGCGCGAATCAAAGCAGGAGCCCGTGGACGAAGACTTGGAGCACGCGAACGGCACCATTGAAGATGATGACGCCGAGCTAAATGAGAAGACCACGGGACTGGAGAACGGATCTGCTTCACCAGATGCTGCCGACGCCACTTCGCAAATGCAACAACGTCTGGATCTAATGATGAGCGAGATGAGCGAAATGAAACAGCAAATGGAACGATACCGTGAGCGTGCCGAGACCGCCGAAGCAGACCGCAAGACTTTGGCAGAAATGATAGAGAGCATTCGGCGAGACAACGCGAGGGCGTCCAGTCGTGAAGCTAGGCGACGAAGCAGGACCAACAGCCCATCGCCAAGAGCAGCACCATCTTCAGGACATGATGGATCTGAGGACGACCATGAGGCGGAGGAAGGCGAGATCACCATCATCAAGGACAAGGACCTCGACGAAGATGGCACCGAAGAGATACTCCGTCGAGCGCACATGGCGAATGGTCATACGGTTGAGCATGACGGTGCTAAGGTGGACGCGAAGCCATCGAACACTCTCGTAACTCGGCAATCAGGCCGTTCAGATCTTATGTATCATGGAGGACCAGTTGGAGCTATGGTTGCCGTTGTTGCCATCGGTGTAGCCGTCATGGCTATGCTAAACCAGTATCCCAAGGTTGAGCGATGAAGCATACAATCAGCGGGTTGTACGACATTGGACCACGGGGTAGACTATTGGGGATGAATATCTTGGGGACTGAAGAACAAAGCTGAACAAGCTGGTATAGCTAACGGCGTTGCTCCCAGAATCAAGGGCTTCGCGCAGTCTTTCGCTTGCGACAGACCTGATAGCTTGGAGTAGCAGCTATGCGAGCGGGATGCATGTTGGCCCACAAGACGACACGCGCCGATCAGCTTCCAGGAGCAATCTGAGCAGCACCCACGGGTTACAACCACATCGACGCACTATAGCATGTGTTACCAAACACCATTTTACGCGACCTCGGTCGCTTGCATAATTTGACCTCGGCGTACACTGCGGATCAAACAACATCATATCTGGAGTTAGGGTGGCATACAACTTCGGATCACTTTTGGCGTTACATCTTTTATCGGATCGCCCTGGACCGGGCAACCACGTTCACTGTAACAGCAGACCATATGATGCGACTACCAACCTTTTCCTTTGTAACTGACAACCATGTCATTCTCTTCAATTTCTTTTCTTGTTTTGGGTGTTGGATGATGAAAGATGAGACGGGAAGGGCATAGGAATGAGGTGCAAGGGGTGGTCAGTTTCTGGGCTTCAATGATATATATTCAACTTTTGCCAGACCTTGGTGCTTTTAAGTTTGCCATTATCGGCCAAGGAAATGGAATTGGGTATCTTGTAAAATGACTACTCGCTGCTGCTCTGACCTTACTCCAATCCGATACTAACAGTGACCGAACTCACATTCCGTATCCTCGTCTCGGGTATATCCTCTTCGTCCCCATCGTCCCCCTCCTTACCCACCACTCCAACATCATCCACCGCCCTCACACTACCCATCTCCACCCTAACCACACACCCCTCCTCGCCCTGAAACTCTACGCCCAAACCCAACGCCTTGGGAATCGCACGCCCCGTCGCCTTCACGTATACCTTCTCGCCCTCTGCACCACCCTTCTTCCGCGCCAATTCATCCACAATCCCCTTCTCCACCTCTCTGCTCTTCAAGCCCGAATGTTTTTTGCGCTGGGATTGTTTGCCCCGCTGCTGGATTTCTGCGAGCAGTTTGCGGATGCGCTTGAGCGCAGGGACAAAGGGCGTGGAGCTGGTTATGTAGAGGACTTTGGGGGAGGCGGAGGAGGAGAAGGGGGTGGGGAGGGAGGGGCGGAGGAGGGGGCGGCGGGAGATGGTTGTATCTGTGGAGACAGGTGGTTAGTGGGTGTGGGGTTGGGGGAGGGGGATGGGAGGGAGAGGCGAACTGGGTGGGAGTTTGGGGAGTTTCTGGCGCAGCTGCTGGGTGTGTGGTTGTTTCGGCTTGGACTTGGATTTCGAGGGCGTAGGGTTTGGGGGACCCGTGGCTCTTTTTCCTTCTAGGGTGGTGTTTTGGTCGGAGTGAGTTGTTGCGGTGGACTTGTTCGCGGCTGATTGTGGTTGCGCGCATGGGGGAGTAGTTTCTGTGGTGGTTTGCGGTTGTTGTGTCGCATTGGAAGGCTTGACCTCGCCGGTCCTTGTTCTCTTTTTGCCTGCCATAGCTGTCGCTCCGTATGTGGTTGTCACTAGAAAGCTGTATTAGCGCAGCTTTCAATTGTCGCGACGCATGGATGATGTCGACGCGCCCCAAAAGTTTTGGGCGGGCCATTGCTATCGATAAGCTTGACGCGGATATTGTCGGTCTTTAGCTACCATCTCGACCACTTTGACATCTCAATCATGCACGACGAACAATAAGATATCATGGCGAGCCCGGCGCGGCATACGCTTCTCCGGCACATCCACCTCCCAGGGCTTGTTCCTTACCAACGTGCCGCGGCCCTTCAAGAGCATCTGGTCTCTCGCTTCCTAGCATCCAAACCGCCTTCGAACAATCCAGCGCCCGCACCGCACATCATCACCGCTGAATTCACACCCGTGTACACATGCGGCCGTCGAGAAGTCGGAAATGTTTTATTAGAACAACAGCAGTATCTACGCGCAGATGGCAAAGCAGACTTCGTCGAAGCCATGCGCGGCGGCCAAACCACCTTCCACGGCCCAGGCCAACTAGTCGCCTACCCGATCGTCGACCTGCGAACCCACAAGCTCAGTCCGCGGTGTTACGTCGCCATGTTGGAAAAGAGCTTGATCGCGACATGCGCGCGGTATGGCATCAAGGCCATGACTACGGACAATACTGGCGTGTGGACCAGCGAGGACGATAAGATTGCGGCGATTGGCGTGCATATGCGTAGGAATATCACTAGTCATGGAGTAGGGTTGAATGTGAATACGGATCTGTGGTGGTTTGATAGAATTGTGGCATGTGGACTGGAGGGAAAGAGGGCGACGAGCTTTGTGAAGCAGGGTGTTGACGTGCAGGACGTGGGGTATGTAGGAGGGACTTTTGCGAAAGAAATCGCGGATAGACTGGAAGGTATACAAGGAGTTGAGAGAGTGGAGGAAGATGAGGTCCAGATACTGCTGAGCGAGGCGAATGCATGATAGCATCAGCATATGTATCATGTTGATGCCAGTCAAGAAGCAAAGAGCCGTAAGATCATATGTTTGCTCGTGTCTCATGGGGTGAGCCTCTAGGCTGTACTCGATGCAGTCAAGTTCCAAAGACTACACCTGTTGTTCTCAACAGCAATGAATGATTGAATTTTGAGGTTCTGCCCTCAACCTACAATGTCGCCTAATCATGCGAGCGCTTTCTAAGCATCATAATACGCAGCATGTGGACTGCGTGGCTTGGAAGTGATAACCCCGGGTTGATACACGGACAGAATCCATGGATGGTCCTTCGCACTTGCACCAATCGGGACCCTCGCACATCACTGTACCATCGTCGGGTCTGATCTCGTCGCCAGGCATGTTCAACCTCGTGTCAGATTAAGATACAGTCATTCACACAGGCATACCCGTGCTAATGAGGACAATGCGAAAAGCCAGGTTTGCGAGTCGGGTCGCGCGGAGGCCGACACCGATCGTACATCCGACCGTACATCCGATCGTACAACAACCTAACCGCAGCTATCAGAACGTTGAGTTGTCAAAGTCTCACGTCTTCCTACAGCGTTTTCAGGGCGAATCCGCATAGAGAATACCAGCCAGCGGATGTGGTGTACCATAGTCTAGCTACCGACCTCTAGGCTTTATATTAGGGATCGCGACCGACGCGCGTCGTACAACCCCTTCACCTCCAACCAAACGGACAGGACCTTAGCGAAGAGTGGATACCTAAGCGTCAAGGGCCAAGCTTCCTTCGTACTCAGTCGTACTCAGAGTTAGTGGTGCTCTTTGTACACAGTCATTCGGCACATCATGCCCAAACAGCGATCGACGTGCACAAGGTAGGTGGTCAAACCAATAGCGACGGTAACAATGCTGATTACCAGTACAGGTGTAGTCAGCGCCGACAAAGGTGCGATCGCAAGACGCCCTGTATGTATACGTTTCCATGTACGAAGGATTGCGGCATGTATACTAATTTGGCAAGGCTCAAGATGTATCCAAAACAAGGAACCGCATCTTTGTACAACGATATGGAAAGAGGGCTACAATCCTTCCGTCCATAGGCGCTACCCGAGGAAGCCCTCTTCCGTAGGAATTTCTGAAAGCTCCTCATCTTTGCATGAACCCTCCTTAGGCGGGCTAGAGGATGAGCCACCCTCGACTGCGGCTGATGATATCCCAGCGAGGGCGCCTCCAGTGACAGGGCCTGAGCTATCAAGGTTTCTCGATATAACCATAGACTCGCTACTAACCGAAAAAGATGGCTCATTCTCTCAGTCTGCCATATTGAACCAAAGCATTGAACACGTAAAGTCTGCAGGGGCACAAATAGATGGATCCAATCGAGTCGCAAACTTTTCCTCACCAGTTGCCAAAGCTACGGAAGTACAGCAACTGCAGAAGTTGATTCCAAGCAAAAATGTTGTCATGACAATCACGGATTACTACGAGAAACATATGCTCTACTGGATGGGAGGTCTGTACTATGCTCCTGCATTGCGCGAAGAACTGCTTCAAGCTTATGGGTCGTCTGAAACGCTGAATTTGTCGAACCTGGATTGGAGATGGACTAGTCTCATATGTACGTCCGCTTGCGTTACTCGCAAGACGCCTACCTGGCTGGATCAGAGCCTGAGCTAGTGATGGTTGAAGTGTGCTCACCTCACACAAAACTTACACGATCTTCAGCGCTCATCCACACATTTCTCTAATCGGCATTGTATAATCAGCTGCTAACGCATTATTAGTTGCAATTCTCTCTTCTGGTATGATCGCTTCTCCAGAAACGCTTTCCACATCATGGGGCTACTCTATTGACGAGAAAATACGTGCTTCTCGCGAATGTAAGCATTCAAAACCTCGCATACTTGATATTGGGCGGGCGCTGATCACCTATCTTCTCTCCAGGGGGCATTGCAGCAAACTCATGTCTACATATCGGCAATTATGCAGCACAATACCATATTCGTTCCATACAGGCCATCTACGTCCTGCATGGGTACGAACATACACTGGGTTCAACAAACCACTGGGCTGCTTTGCGGGCTGTTTCTGTATTGATTGCCAAAGGCTTGGGTCTACACAGGTTCGATGTCCATTGCTTGATCATTGCAGGCTCCAAAGAATTTACTCGCTAACGCTTGCTAGACTCAGTTCACACCCTGACGACGCCAGGGTCATGCAACTCACTGGTGCGAGGAAGCAAGCCTTCATTGATCGCGAGATAGGCAGAAGACTTTGGTCCCAAATATGCTCTCAAGAATGGCAAGTCGGCACAACTTGAAGCGTTGGTCAGTACCACATGACTGACAGATCCTCCTCACTAGGCTGTGCTTGACCACTCAGAATAACTACACGATTGCAATCACAAAGCGTCAATTTACCAGTATACTGCCGATGGCACTTGACGAAGAAACAATGCAGCCCACTGCCGATGATACCGTACCATGCTACGCGTCAGTCAGTCAATACCTGTACGACTACGCCTAGTCTGATGTTAGAAATACCACAATGCTGTGCTTGATTCTATGGATCTGGATGAAGTCTCCCGATATGCCATGATACTGAAATTCGATGGCGAGCTGCGCGCGACCAATGAGGAGCAGACCCCGAAGCCTCTGTCGACTCGCATCCCTCTCGACCCAACATGGCCAAAGTGGGTCAAATGGGCTCGTAAGTCACTACTGTTGAGCGCGCCTTGAACGTATTCTGATCTATTGCCTTCTGTATAGGAACATTGCGTCAGGCAGCTATCAACTACAAGATCATCATGATACATCAAAGTTTCATCAGCAAAAGCTTTAAGGACGCGCGCTATACCTACACCAGATGGGCGTGCGGCACAGCCGCGAAGAACCTCGTTGCCCTCTACAAAACACGCGATCCCGAAGAGCCACAGTGGTGGGTCGAGCAAGCGTTCCTAGTCACAGCTGCGTTGTGTCTCCTCCTCGACCTATTCCATCGACAGGACCGCGATGCCGAAGCTGAAGAGAACCTAGCCTGTGTGCGGCAGGCTATAAACTACCTACAGCAGTTCGTCACAAGTTCTGTCGCCGCCCACGGCGTGCGCCTTCTCTGCTCTCTGATTCAAGAATACTGTAAATTACACGAAGGCGTCCGTCCACCAGCGGCACAGCAACAACCTGGCATCACCGGCTTCGAGGACTTGCAATTGCCAGCACCTCCGGCCATGCCGGCACAAAACCTACCTTCGCATTCACAGCCCAATGTAAATGAGACTCCGGAGTTGACGCTGACGAGCGAGGAAGTTGCACAATTCAACTTTGACATTGATAATGTCTTCATGGACTACTTGCCGGCGGAAGGTGGGCTCGACAATAACGTGCTTTGGGATAGTATATATGGATTGGCGAATGGTCAGCTCATGTAAGAGTCTAGGCTATACGCGTGTACGATAAGTGTCAGATGTAACAACATATATTAATCTATCAGCGGTCAAATTTGCCAACGGTAGCAAGATTGCTGTTGCACGATGTCATGTTGGCGGAAGATGAATGCCGCATTTTGTTGAGTGTTTCATGACAGCAGTTGCCGAGGTATGAAAGACCCCACACCTGTTGATCTCCCGCGCTACGATGCATACTCTACCATCAGCGCGGAATGACTTCATTGACATGAACAACATGAAGATATCAGCAATCTACATCGAGTCTTGCTCCAAGAGCCATATTCGCAATGAAAGCAGTCAAGGTCGATAGCTTTGTCACAGTAAGTCGAGACAACTCCACAACATGTCATCCCTTAAACTAAGCAACACCCAGGACTTGACAGTTCTCCAACCAAAAGATGTCCCGACTCCAACGCCAAGCTCCAAGGATGAACTCACAATCAAAATCACCCATGCAGCCATAACCCACGTCGACCTCCTCTACGCCCAAGGCCTGCACCAGAACAACAAACGCCATGTACAACCCCCCTTTATCCTCGGCAACGAATTCTCCGGCATCGTCACTTCCTCCCCGCCAACCTCGTCATTCAAACCCGGCACGAAAGTCTTCGGTGGCGGTCTCGGCTCCTACGCTGAATCGATCTGCGTCCCCGAAGCAGCTGTCCGCCGCGTGCCCGCGCAATGGAGCCTCGCGGAAGCATGTGCAGTCGGCGCGTCTGGCGCTGTGAGTTACGGCGCGCTTGTCAGTGTTGCGCAGGTCAAGAGCGGGGAGACGGTGTTGGTGCTGGGTGCCAGTGGGGGATTGGGCGTGATGGCAATTCAGATTGCGAAGGGGCTGGGGGCGAAGGTCATTGCTGTTGTTGGGAGTGCGGAGAAAGCGAGAGTGGTGAGGGAGATTGGGGCAGATGGTGTGGTCGATTATCGTGACGGGAAGTGGGAGGATGGAGTCAAGGCGCTGACGCAGGATGGTGAGGGCGTAGATGTGGTGTATGATGGTATCGGGGCTGTGGAGAGCGGGCTGAAGTGTCTCAAGTATCGCGGAAGATTGGTTGTTGTGGGGTTTGCGGCGAGAGGTGGTAATATTGAGAATGTGAGGGCGAATAGGATATTGCTCAAGTCGGCGATGGTGCATGGGTATAGGTTTGGTGAGGATGGGAGGCATGATCCACGGCGCACGAAGGACGGGTGGGAAGCTTTCATGAAGATGGTAGACCAGGGTAAGATAAAGCCGGTGATATACAAAGAGGATTATAGAGGGTTGGAGAGCGTGAGTCGGGCACTGGAGGATGCGAAGACGCACAAAGCATGGGGGAGAGCGATACTGAGGATAAACGAGGGTGCGGAAGAGGAATTGAATAGTAAGGCACGATTATAGATGGCTACAGTGAGGGCCCTTCTCAAGTTGCAGAAGATGCAGTAAGACTACGGCAATAGTCTAGAGATATGAAACAAACTATCGGTCAAAGCTGTGAATCACTCTAGGAGTTCTCTAATCTCGTCTGGAGGGGCTGCCGGTAATTCTGCAAGTATTTCATCCGATGTCGTTGATGATGGCGCGAAATGCGAAGTGGTGAGGGTGAAGACGCGACACGCCTCACCTGTGGCTAGAGCCCGGGGACGTGCACCTTTTGGCGCGCCTTCCCTTATAGATGCGTTCACCTTGTCCGCATTACTTAAACAAAGCCCGCCCGCCGTCGACCCAAGTCGCCCGGCGCTTTCCTTTTCCTCCATTTCTACCGCCCCTACTGCTCGCCTGGTCGAGCCGCCCCAGTCGGCACAGCCTCGACCTCGCGCTCTCCGCAGAAGCCACGTCCAGCGCTCCGCGAAGCTCTAGCCTCCGAACACATTTCTTGAGCCTGCCCCATCACAGCCATGGCCGACTACGATCGCGAGGGCTCTGCCGAGTCGGAGGACTTCAATCCCGTGCCCGAAATAGATGAGGATGACGAGCCAGCGAGCCGGCCTGCTCCAAGTAGGCCTGCAGCAGATGAGGATGAAGACGACAATGATGCGCTTGGTCTGACCGGCAACCCTGACGAAGATGAAGAGGGCGAGGGCGTAGATCTTGACAACGACGATGACGACGACGAGGATGAAGAGGATGAGGACGAGGATGACGTTGTAGTAGGCATCCCTGGACTATCAACTTTGATGCACTCAATGCTGACTTTTGCAGGCCCGACCCGCCAAGCGACGGAAGAAGACAAGGCGCAACATGTTCATTGATGTCGAGGCTGAAGTCGATGAAGAAGACGAGGAGGAGGAAGAGGGCGACGACGACGGTGTTGAAGATGTGCACCCCGACGACCTCCTCGAGCCCACGGGCGCCGAACTCGACGACCGCCACCATCGCGAGTTGGACATGCGCCGCGAGGCCGACCAGCAGATCGACGCAGAGGACATTGCCAGGAAGATCGATGAGCGATACAAGCGACGTGCCGTCCAGGGCGCTCGCCGAGGAGGAGCTGGCGCAGTCCCTCTGGCGCTACCAACGGTGAACGATCCCATGATCTGGATGTGCAAAGTGCGTCCGGGCAAGGAGCGCGAAATCATCATGGCAATCCAGAAGCGCATCGACGACAAGCTGCGCACCAATCAGCCTGTCAACGTCTACTCGGCCTTTGAGCGAGGTCCTACCGGTCCCCAGTCTGGGTACCTCTACGTTGAAGCCGATACACAGCAGGCCATGGTCGACATCATCGACGGTGTCACCAACGTCTTCATGGGGTCCGGTCAGACGGCCATCAGTGTCAAGGAACGTCCAGACCTGCTGCGAAAGAAGAAGCGCGCGCCGCTAGAACAGGGCAAATTCGTGCGCATGCTTCGACCTCCTACATACAAGGGCGATCTGGCAAAGATTGTCGAGGTCGGCTCGAATGGCCTCGATTGCGTCGTGCAACTCGTGCCCCGTCTGGACTACGGTCTGAATGAAGATGCGAACGCTGCCGCGGACAACAAGCGCAAGCGAGGCGGTTTCTTTGGTCGTAACGTTGAACGACCGCCTGCCAAGCTGTTCAGCGACACAGAAGCAAAGAAGCGACACATGAAGCATCTGACCATGTCAGGCTCCGGACAAGCGCGAACCTACCATTACAAAGGAGATGATTACCAAAACGGCTTCCTCATCAAGGATGTCAAGGTCAATTGGGTCAGCACCGAGCGCGTCAACCCTAAGATGGAGGAACTGCAATTTTTCTCCATCCAAAATGCCGACGGAACAGAAACGCTGGACCTGTTGGCAGTCCAGGCTGCTCAAAAAGCCTCCGAGAATGGTTCGGCGTTCGCCCAGGGAGACAATGTCGAGATCTACACCGGTGAACAAAAGGGCATTCGTGGTACTACGGTCACGGTCGTTGGTGACATTCTCACTCTTCGCGTCACAGATGGTGAATTGAGGGGACGGAAAATCGATGCGCCGGTAAAGACGCTACGAAAGCTCTTCCGCGAGGGTGATCACGTCAAGGTTATTGGTGGCAGCAGATATGTCGATGAAGTCGGTCTTGTTACGAAGATCAGGGACGATAAGATCACCCTGCTCAGCGACTCGACTCAGGCAGAGATTACAGTCTTTAGCAAGGACCTGAAGCGTGCTGCGGATTCTGCTACCGTTGGGGCTGACTCCAACTTCGACCTATACGACTTGGTGCAGATTGAGTAAGTACCATCTGAAAACTCAATAATTTTCAGTAACTAACCTACCACAGTGCTTCAACCATCGGCTGTGTTGTCCGTGTCGATCGAGAAGTCTTGAAGGTCGTTGACCAGCAAGGTGATGTTCGAACGCTCCTACACACTCAGGTTTCCCAGGTCATGGGCAGGAATAAGCACGCTGTGGCAACCGACCGCGACGGTTCCGAAATTCGACACGACGACGATGTCAAAGAGTTCAGCGGCGAAAATCGCCAAGGAAAGGTTATCTACATCCATCGTGGAACTCTTTTCGTACGGAACCGCGAGCTCGTCGAGAACCAGGGTATATTCGTTGTCCGCAGCTCAAACGTTGTCACAATGGCTGCGAAGAGTGGTCGCGCACAGGCACAGGGCCCAGATCTTAGTGGGTTGAACCCTGCTCTGAATGCGCAGAATGGCAACGCTGGGGCCGCTATGGCACCGCCTCGTAATCTCGGTCGCGACAAGCTGATTGGAAAGACGGTCGTTATTCGCAAAGGTGCTTACAAGGGTTTGTTGGGTATCGTCAAGGACACAATGAACGATGAGGCCCGTATCGAACTACATACCAAGAACAAGCAGATCTCGGTCAAGAAGGAATTATTGACTATCAAAGATCCCATCACTGGAAACAACATGGAGTTTGGAAGCGGCAAGTTTCCCAATCGCTCGCGAGGCGGATTCTCTGGCAGCACCCCGAGCCACAACGGCGGCGGACGTACTCCCGCATGGGGCAATTCTTCTGGTCGCGGCAGTGCACCATCATGGGGTAGCACTCCAGCTGGCGGTCGCACACCTGGCTGGGGAGGAGGTAGTGGTGGCCGAACACCCGGCTGGGGTGGAGACGGCGGTCGCACAGCTTATGGTGGTGGCGATGGAAGCCGGACTGCGTACGGCGGTGATGGCTCACGAACAGCTTATGGTGGAGCAACCGCGTATGGCGGCTCGACTTCATATGGCGGATCAACATCATACGGCGGCAACGATGGCTCACGCACCGCATATGGAGGCTTCAATGCAGGCAACCGCACGCCTGCTTGGGGAGGTTCATCCGGCAGCGCTACCAAATCATCTGGTGGTCTCTCTGCTCCCACCCCTGGTGCATACAATGCACCCACACCGGGCGCGTATGCAGCTCCAACTCCTGGTGCTTACGGCGCATACTCAGCACCTACACCTGGCGGGCCAATGGACGCGCCAACGCCAGGCAACTACTCTGCTCCTACACCAGGAGATACTGGATACAAGTACGGCACGACCCCTGCAGCTGCACCCACACCAGGGGCCTGGGGTGAACCAGCGACGCCCGCGCCGAGTGGAGAGGACCCCGGGTACCATTGAAGTAGCATCGTAAGTGCAGTGTAAGATAGACATGCCGTTCGTGGAAAGTTTGCAAAAGCCGACAGTTCAATTTGCATTGCAGGAGTTAAAATCATAGGATATTGCTGCAATAAGATCAAGACTTTTTTTTTTCTCAACATGAAGATCTCGGACGACTTCGTTCTACTCGCCACTCTATTTCCTTTCTAGTTTTCCTTTCCCCTTGTGCTCACTTTTCATCCCGGTCTCCGTATCTACCAAGGCCACGTTCTCTTTTCCGTGCTGTTCAAAAACCCACCGCTCTCGTCATCCCTATCCCCTCGTAAAATCGCCAACACCGGTCTCGCACCCTCACTCGCCGGTTTCGCCCCATTCTGCAGAAGAAAAATCAGCCAGTCCAAGTCCAATCCAATCACATATAGCACTTACAGCAATCGTATTCATCGGCCCCAGATTACTCTCCGTGAACCCCGGACAAAAGTTAAACACCCTCCACCCCTTCTCCCGATACTCGAAGCACTGACACGCAGTCACCATGTGTAACGCCGCCTTGGACACACGATACGGCACCACCTTCATCGCCTGGTGTGGATTAGCATGATCGGCGCGCAGCGAAATCGAGCCCGCGCCGCTGCTGACGTTTACGATGCGCGCGACATGCGGGGAGACTGACAGCAGCGGCGCGAAGTAGTGCACCGTGATCGCCGGGCCAACGGTGTTGGTCGTGAAACACGCAATGAGTTGTTCGGACAGTGTCTGGCCGTCGGGTACGTCGGCGCCCGTCGAGGAGTATGCGCCGGCTATGCCGGCGTTGTTGACGAGGGCGTCGAGGCTTGCAATGTCAGTCATGTGCGTGTCGTTCTGGGCTGGACACGTACCGGCCGAATCGCAAGGAGACGTCTGTGGCGGCGCGACTGACGCTGGCTTCGGAGGTCACGTTGATTTGAACGAGCTCGATGGTGCCGGGGAGGTTTTGGGCCTTGAGATCTGAGACGGCGTTTTCGCCTTTGGAGAGGGAGCGGGCGCCGAGGAGGACGATGTTGGAGGCGTCTGCGAGGAGGAGCTGGGTGAGGGCGAAGCCGATGCCGCTGTTGGCTGGGTTGTCGTGTCAGAGTGACTGGTCATGCTGATGAGAAGGATACGTACCGCCAGTGATGAGAGTGATCTTCTTGTCGTTGGAGATCATGATGTCGGTGGTATCAGGAAAGCTTGGGCGTTTGAAGCTCTGTGATTTGAAGTCGGTGGTAGTTGCGATGATGGTCCATCATGTCGAGCAGTGCCTCTTCTTTATAGACCATTGTCCGAATCGCTAGTCTCTATGTTCTTTCAAGCAGGTACAATCCAGTCCAATGGCTTCAAATCCAAGTGGTGTGCAAAACCTGCACTCTCCTGTCGGCCACCAAAATTTCCACTTCCTTCAATGCTCGTTTGTGCACTTTTGCTCGCATACTTCGCCCAAAATGAATAGTGCTGATGCCTGCCTCGTCATACCATGATTGTTACTCGGGACCAATCAATGGGCCACTCCATCGGATCCTTTATTAAGATACCAGATTGAGAAGTGGAATTACCTATGCCCTTATGGATGATTGGTTGGAGTTAGGTGGTAGTGGTAAGCATGACTTCGGTGTTAGGAGTTATGGGTGTATCATGGAATGTCAATCAATGCGCTGAAGCGGGACACTAGAGCACACAGTCAGATGTGGTCCTTTTGCGACACGAAGGCAACGGTGGTTCTAACAAATGTGATAGTCCAACGTGTAAACTGTAGATTGCAACAAAACACCTCCGATGATATTACCGTCTACAGGTGTGATAAGCACATCTAATCCTCTATGTTGTGCCTTTTATCTATATTCATGATGCCCCATCTATGCCCAATGATTAAGCCACAGCAAACCGACTCCGTTCTCTAAGAAGCTTGCCCCACTTCCACAGCGCGACCATGAGTATGCTGCATATCACCATGCACCCCGCCAACAGACTAACACCCCCATCGATGCCAATACCCTCGAACATTGGTGTCGAGAATAAGATCGAAGCGACCGCGAATAGACTTCTCGAGAGACTATTGGCCGAGAAAATGCTTGCAGCATATCGAGGGTATATGTTCGGGATGTACAGCAAGACAGACTGTACGATGAAGTACGTTCCGAAGATGGACATCGCGAGCCCCACCGTGGGAGCCATCCAGTGAACACTCGGCCTCGCGGTCCATGCTATTGACGTATTAGTGGTTTGGCGAGAGTGAAGCGTGAAGGCAAGTACGTACCATAAAGAAATAGTCCTGCAGGGATGAACGGACTAGCAAGCATGCCTGGTAAAAGATGGTTCTCGAGCTCGCCAAAAGTCCCATTTGTCAAACGTGGCATGACACGGTATTTGAGGTAGAAGCAGTGTATAGTAAAGGCGAGGAGGCCTGCAGGTCCAACGCACAGAAAGATGAGACCGGTGCTTTGACCGGAAAAGCCGTAGTAGACTGGGTACACGAGTGGGAGCGACTCGAAGAATGAGTAGTAGATACCGTAGGCCAAGCCCATGTAGATCTAGTGCGGGAGTAAGAAGTTAGTGTATGTGGCGCGAATGGATCGCACGTCAGGGTTTACTTACAGTAGTGAACAGAATAGCAGGGTCGAGTGCGTTAATCTCCCATGGCTTGATGAGGGCGTCGAATAGCAAGGTTCTCACATTGAGATCTTTCTGCTTGCGTTCAGAGTCGGACATCAAGTTCGAGTCGCCGGTTTGCTCTCTTAGGCGCTTGGCCTTGTAGTAAAGGATCGTAGGGCCTGATGACTCGGGCATGAAGAAGATCATTCCTAGATACGCAGGTCCAGCAATGAACATGAGTTCCCAGCTAGAGAAGCGCCACCCAAGACTCTTGACAGCGTACGAGGACAAAGTGGGTCCGAGCGCTGGGCCTAACGTTGCTGTCATTGCCCACAGTGCAATTGCAAAAGGGACTTGCGGAGGTGCCCAAATGTCAGTTAGGGAAGCCTGTTTTTCAAATGTCAGTAGATGTCCTTCACATGTTCTGTGCAGTGGGTGTTGCTTACGCCTGCAGTCGCGAGGCAGGGCGATGCCATGAAGCCCAGCAGAAATCGAAGGACCATGAGGCCTTCGAAGTTGTTCACGAGCGCCGTAGGTATACACAAGATGATGAATAGAAATCCAGATATCGCGTACGGAGGGTTGCGTCCTACAGCCGGTATCTCCGAGAGTGGTGAGAATAGCAGGCACCCGACACCATAGCCGAGGACGTAAAGCGCGATACCAAGCGAGCCTTCAACAGAGCTCTTGTTGAAGATTCTCTCAACGTCAGGCTGAGAAGATGTGTAGATAGACGAGCCCACATATACTGCGAATGTATAGAAGCCGATGATGAACGTCATGATGACTCTCTGGCTCAAGGGCCAGTTGTGTGGCATACTCGGGTCATCCGGTCCACTCCAGTCTACAAGGCTCGTCTGATGCAGTCTCAGGTCTGTACCGGTGGAGGTGTTGACCAAGTTGGTGGGGACATTGTCGCTTGATGAGGAAGTTGAGATGGCCTTTCCTGGGTTTCGCGAGTAATCCAATTTGCCCTTCTTCGCATACTGAACCAAGGTCCCCACCGTCGAATGTGAAAAGAGATATGACATCTTGCGCAGGATCCGGGTAGCGGGGATGAAGTCGGCCTTGTATGGGCTGTGAGGCCTATACAGGAATGTGTTGTCGGAGACTGAAGATGTGAGTTGCGCAGGTTTTGTGAAAGAACCAGCTTTCCCGATACACAAAGAGCCTATATATGCGGCGCGTCCGCCTGCCACCTAGGCTTATCTCCAACTCCGTTTTCTCAGCCCTGTGGGGTGCCAGCAGAGCTGTGTCATATGCCAAGGAAAGTGGCTTTGTAATAGACAGCGAGCGGAGTGAAAACAGTCACGGATATATTTGTTCGTGCGCTTTTTCGCCGGGAGGTAATTCTCATGTCGCAACAAAGGTTTTGCGAAATCGAGAGCTTCAAGCATGGCAGGCGCTCTACCCCATTCATTATCTCCAGAACCGTGGACGACAGAAAAGAGATGAGTATGTCACGAGGTCGAAATATTCCATCGTAGGACGCAGGGCGGAGTGAACGGATTTTAGCTCTCTCAGGCTTGGAGTATCTTGCTGTTCGTTACGATAGCCGTGGCTTTCAATCGGACGAACTCTGAGAGCTTGACGTTACACAAGGCTGGTTTCGGAGTCAGCATTCTGAGTGAGGTGCATATCAACTTCCCTAGACTGCTTATCGTCTTGTCGATCTTGGCTGGCGCTCTGCTTGTTGACAAGTACGGCTCACATCACATTGTGAGATACATCAGCCTAGCTGGAAGAACCACAGTCTCCCGTGGAAGGACCCCCGCGAGAACGTGGTCATGTACAAGAACGGTCTAGCTGGTCGCTAATTCAATAAGAGTAACGCGCTCCTAGATGCAGGCATTTAGTAAAGTCAAGGTAGGTCGTGTGACTCTTTGCCTTGAGCTTCTTCACGATTCCACGTACGTTTCTCAAGAGTCTTTACTTTTGGTCGAGACGTTCAACTCAAGTTTCGCACGGTAACATCCGTGTGACAACGAATTCAGCGATGCTTCTGAACATGGTGGTGGCGCAACCGGAAAAGGTCCATGTACCCCTGCAACATGGCTCCAGAACAACCGATGATTGGCTCTTTCCGGCGGCGTTTTGTCAGCGGACCAGTGGCGGCTCTGCGTGCTTATATGCGAGATAAGGAATGAGAGTTTCTCACTCCGCTGTGGACAAAGGAAGAATGCGCCGTCATGATACAATCCATAATCCCGAATCTCCAGCAGGGCCAACCCGGTGTGCCGGCAAAATAGCGTCGATCGGAAGCATTATTTAGGGCCAACGGTTCATGAACGTCCGACCCCAAGTGATGGCGCTGGAGAGCATGCACGCGTCGGTGGTATCATGAGAGGTCCGTGAAGCCGGATTGATCTGACGCTGACCGGTAATCCATACCTACGCATCGGGATGTGCGCCGTTGTGCCGAATTATTGGAAAGACTATCGTTCCACCAAGTGAGACAAACAGTGTCTCAAAATGCAACCTTGTTAGTCTTAAGCTCGCGCGGCATTTCTTAGCATGTCAACGGCTGTCTAGTTCCGCCAGTTTCGTTTCGCAAAAGAGCGGAGGAGACCAAACATGCAGAGTTTGGCCCTCCGAGTGCTGGTGCCGATTCTTGCGTTGCGTGGAGAGACAGTAAATGGGCTGGTGAGCGACCGCCGAAAGTGGACACACATGAAACCCTTGCGCGCTTTAGCAGCGAGCACCATAACTTCGCAACCATCCTAACGTGCGCATCTCGGCGCAACCTGTCGAAAAGGATCGAGCGAAGTCTTAGTTATGAGAGGCTGGCCTGCAGGTAGATGAGTCCAAAAGTATTAATAGACCCTTTACGCTAGGGGGCCGATACCGACAAGAATTTCTCGGCCAGCTCCAACGAGGAAAAGAACCGTACGATCACCGTAGATCCTTGTAACACCATGTTCGCTTGTACCTGGAGCGACTGTTTCGCAGGCCGTGGGAGCTGGTGTGACCCCTGACAGCACCCATCCAAAATCTGCGAGCGAAAGCACGCTGCACGCGCGACGAGAGTGCGTGGCACCCAACCACGCGCATCGAAATTGCTTCGAGTACATTATCCAAGACTTCAAAGGACTCGACAACAAAAAGCAAGACGGAAAAATTAGACGACACGGTGGAATCGAAAAGCCTCCAGAACACAGGAATCGCTCTAGCCTCTCTTCTAGCCCTGAGCTGATCATTAAGGGCCTGCGGGGCTCCCGAATTCACCACGCAGTTCCGTCTTCCGCCTGCCAACGCGACCGTGCGTGACAGTCGAGACTCTGCTCCCAAGCATGTTTCCCGCGGCAATTGCTTGTGCGAGGCTGGTCACGCACCCGATCCGGTTAGTATTCGATACTTTCTGGTGTGTTTTGAGCCTGGTCGTGCTGCACGATACGATGCGCGACAGTCAGCTACGCGAAACGGCTGCGGCGGGCATGAGCGTAGCTGAGACCTTAGATTGTGACTATAGGCATAAGCGTATCAGTGACCGTGTGATGCGGGGAATACATAACTGCCTCTGTGGGCGCTGGCACCTTTGAGTTTGGATGTTCGCTCATTGCTTCTTACCCGTCCTTTGTTCTTTCCTTACAACAGGCATCGACAGGCATCTTCGTTGTTGCTCGCGCACCCACTTACACAACATTGCATGAGCCCAGAGAACCGTCTCCACTTACATCATCTTAGAGGAATTGCTTAACTTGTGAGTATAATGTTCCTGGCCCTAGAGGGAAATTTGGGTACGGCAGAGCGTTTGACATTAACAAATCAATAGATCCGCGCCTCCTCACGATCAAATCAACCTGTTATTCGGCCCTTCATATCTGCCATCGCGTTCTATAATTACACGCACATCCGCGACTTCGCGGTTCCAACGCCATAGTCTACAGACACCAAAGATTTCTGCGAATTTTACGGCACAGGACTACATTCACCTACGCCACAATGCTCGTCGCATCAGCAGCCTCGCTATTCGCGACCACAATCCTTCTATCCACCACATCAGCAGCGCCAACACGGACACACTGCCGCTGCACAGTTGTCGCAGACACCGCAAACGTAATTTCTTCTCCCTCCACCGCACACTGGACACCCGCACAGCCATCACCAAGTCCAATTTTCTCAGACATATGTTCAAATCTCGGTCCCGAACTCGAGAACTTCCAACACTCCGAGCCCGACCTCTACGCTGCATATCTATCACGGACTGAGGGGCCTTCAAGTACAAACGACCACCAAAGAGTTTTTCTGAGCCCAACAAGAGAAAATGGATTGCTCGCAAGGAAAGAGAGCAGTGAACCACGACCAAGTTCCCGACCACGTCAGCGGATAGTATGTCGTTCGGAACCCGACCCTGCCACAGAGTATCAACCCTCATTTGTTACTCTCTGGGTTCTGCAAGTCATTGTCGCTATATCCATCATGGCATGCGTCGCGGAGGGCATTCACCTGAGTTTGCGGTGGTACGGCACTCCCGACAGCGCAATGGTGCCATTCTTCGGAAGCGAGAAGCTCCTGATCGAAGTCTTGGACTCGGAGAAGAACACGCAAACGATGGTCACGACGCCAATGCTCATTGTGCAAGCGCCGAACGGAGATAGGGTGTGCGTCACATATGACGAAGACGAAGATGACGAGATGAATAGGCCAGTCATGTGATTTTACTCAACATGGCCGGCCGTGTTGATTGCTTGTTTCCTTTGGCGCTCCCTTCTGCTTGTACATATTCCAGTCCCATGCGCGCATTTTCCAGCGGCGCAATGAGAGCGAACATCTGTAGCGTATATACCCCTTGACGAAGTATAAAACATGGAAGTATTACAAATGAACATGTGTGCCAACTCGTCCTCGTCATCTTGCATACCAGCTTTTGTATTCTTCATGCGAAGCCATGACCATCAATTGTCCTGGGGTTTTATCCCCAAGAGCCGATGGTCGACTTCGCGTTCTGGCGTGGGGGTTTCATCCGCCCACCACTGTCGTTCTTCTCCAATCTCTTTCTGCCTGATATGCAGCAGGGGTATCATAAAAGCAAATGGGTATCGTAAAGCAAAAAAACAAACGCTCAGCAAATATCTATGTACAAGGTGAACCAGTACGCCAGACCAGGGCGGTACGGATTCGGCAAGGGCGCGAGGGCTGAACCAGCAATGGGCGCATAGTCGCATGGAAAAGAGACGTCGTTGACAGCACTTGCATGATCTGTCTTACCTGCCCTGAAAGGAGTAGGAGTATTAATGTGCATGGGCAAAGCGCATTGGTATTAATGTTGTTGCTCGGGTTGTCGCTATGGGCATCTTGATAGATGTCGCAGAAGGGTCCGGAATTCTATGTCGCGAAAGGGGTTCCGGAGTATTATGTCGCTTGAGAAAGGCGTGAGCAGGTATTCGCAGGAGGGATAGCGTACAGGCAGCGTAGTGGAGCATCGTGGTCTGAGAACCACTGATGGTGTCGTACACGTAGTCGCAAACGGGTATCGTAGCAGGGCATCGCAGATGCTATGGTATTAGGGTGTCGCAATAGGGTTGCGGGTGTTGTTGCAGAAGGGTATCGTCGTGGGTGTCGCAGTAGGCCAGCTGGACATGAAACATCACCGGGATGCCGAGGAATCGATCGTTCTACGAGTAAAAGTCGTACATTAAAGATCGTACCGGACTGTGGCAACAGTCATACAGGTGGAGACCGGAAGGTGGTCAGGAAGGTATGTCGAAGTCGTCGTTGGAACATGAAAAAGTCTTGAAAGAGTCGCTGAAAGTCCAGAGTAACGCCGTAGCAATGCAAGCTGATGTCAAAAGATTTTCTAGCAAACGCCGTGCTAGACCCCAAAGGTCATCAAGTCATGAAGTTTTGGTAGTAGTGCGCATCACATGATCGTGTGCCAACCTTTCTCGTTCATGATGTCGATCCAGAACGCGTCTTGACCTTCATCCGACTGACGCCAAGTCTCTTTGATCAGTTGAATCATTTGACGGAGGGGCTTGTTGGGTAGTCGGAGAGCAAACTCTTGAAGGCGTCTGATGACGAAGTCGCGAGACGTGAGGATCTTCGAGTCACTTGCGTGGACGTCGAAGAAGTCGACAGAGGAGACGAACTTCAGCTCGGAAGCAGCGATGACAAGGAGCAACGGCTGAATGCAGAAAGTGCCAGAAGAGGATGGAAGAGACTCAACGGATCGAAGAATATGCATAGCCAACGAGTTGAGCCAGAGCTTTGTGTCGGTGTCTTCGTAAGGAGTCTCGAACCGCGGCATGGGGAAGTGGAAGTCAACGTTCTCGCTTGTACTAAACTTGTCCTTGCCGAGACGCTTACGAAGAATGGATGGGAAGACACGGTACAGCTCAAGGAGACCAGCGCAGCGGTAGGTTTCGGCGATGACGATGAAATCTTGCTTCGGCGTGCGCTCGTCTCCTGTCTCTGCAAGGTCATCGGCTGTTGGGTACTCTAACGCCAAGAGATCTTCTTCGAGGGACGCAGCATTGAGAGCATTCTCTTGTCTTCGCCTGATGTCAACAGCAGAATCCTTGTCGAGCGAGCGCTCCCTGCGGACCAGACGGCCAACCTCAGCCAGCAAGAACTGACCGGTAGGCGCGATGCCGGTCCATGGATGAGGCACGATCTTTCCATCTGGTCGTCGAGTAGCTGGTGAATTCTGCTTCGACACTCTGCGAGGCCGCAGTCCGGAAGGAGAAGAGAAGCACATGGCATCTTCTGTCACGAAGCCCATGAGCATCTCCCAGTGGATCAACGACTCCTCGAAGAACTGTGCCTCACGCTGGACCTCGTCTTCCTCCGTCCGACTCAACAATTTTGGCAGAATCAAGCTACGAGCTGTCGACAGATAGTCTAGGCCAAGCGCACCACTGTCATGCCAGGAAGTAGTCAAGCCGAGCAACATGATGCTCAGGAATGTCTTGGTAGCACTAGCCTGGCCACTCTGAACGAGGGGTAGTTCTGCCTGCAAAGCGTCGAAAGCTTTACCTTGCATCTCTACACCGACAGACGCCATGTTGGGGAAAGTATTAGCGAGGTGTGCAGCAGCCATGGATTGAATGGCGTATTTGATCGACGGGCAGTCCTCGTAGATGCGGCCAATGGTAGTTCTGAACGGGTTCAAGATCGAATCGAAAGAAGAAAAGACAGCGCACACATCCTTGAAGTAGTGCTGAATAAGAAGAGACTCCACATCATCCGGCGAGGACGGGCTTGGGGATGGGCTTGGTAGACGATAGAAGTCTAAGAGTAAGGAACGCGACAGCCTGGGACTAGCCTCTCGGCTAGACTCTCGGGTGGTTAACATGGACGTGGCAGCAGAGGAAGAAAGATCGTGCTGGCGTAAGTTGTCCTCGAACTCCAAAGCGAAGTCATCAAATTGGCCATTGCCTAGGTCAAGATCCTCAAATGAGCCGAATGCAAACTCATCATGAGGTAGAGTAATGGCGTTAGACAGGCCATCCATGAGATTGGAATCCATGGCATCGATATCTTCCATGGTAAAAGGCTCAAAGTCTCGCGGCGATGCCTCATCTTCGGTGGAAGACTCCTGAGTGGATGCGTGCTCCTCCAGAGCTGGTGGGGACAGGACTGGTGGTGATGGCTGCTTGGTAGTAGTCTCTGGTCCTGCAGTCTTCTTGCCAGCAGGAAGTACAGCAGCCAGTGCCTCGATACCACTATCGACAGTCTTCGGCAAGGAAGGCTTTTCAGACGCAAGAGACTGTGCAGGGACCTCTGCGACTGGTCGTGACTTGGGAGTCGTTGATTTGAACTGTACAGGACTGAACACTTCGTATTTGGTGGACCACTTCAGTGTCTTCTCGTATCCGGGACAAGAGACGTTCCTCTTTTTGCACTGTAGACAGGATCCAGCAGTCTCATCGCACTTGAGCTGTTCCATTGTCAGTGATGTGTAGAGAGAAAGCAAGGTGAAGATCTTACCCTCTTGAGCTTGCAACGACCACATCCATTCCTGGACTTGGTCTTCTTCGCCTTCAGATCGCGTGCCGCAGCCTTTTCCTGAGCCAATGTGGGCATGTCTGATTACTTGGCGGAAGAATGAGATGTCGAGGGGGGACGAACGACGAAGGACTGGGTTCCCAGAAAGAATTAATGGAGTGATGTGTGCGGATGCGGACAATGCGGAGGCGGTTCACTAAATGCGCGTGACGCCGCCATGACACAGCCGATAGGAAGCGTTACCTATCAGTGCAGGGGCCAAGATAGCGCTGATAAAAGCGCATCGCTGATGGGGTTGGAAGGTGAGGCTTAAAGTCTAGATGCCCGAGTTTCGGCCCTACTAGGACACGACGTCCCTTGTCTGCCTCGCATCCTGCATCAGCGCAACACTGATTGGCCGACCACCACAACTTGAGTCGTAGAAAACTTCACCTTTTGCTATCCATGGGAGGACGTTCGCACTGCGGAAAAGTTGGACACTGTTCGGCAAATGAACGCGAATTGGCTCGAATACAGCTTTGTTTCATAAAAAATAAAGCGGTGATGGCGGTCGAAAGACGTCCCCAAAGATGAGGCAGGGTTGATAAGTAGATCTGCGCTACCCCACGTTTACTGGATGGTTGCAATGCCGCAAGTGGGTTTTATACCCGCAAACAGGCTAGCGCATGCCCCACTAGCTGCATCATCGTGCGTTCCGATATCAACACCAAGATAAAGCCACGACACTGCTGCAGCCCTCATGACGATGTCGGCTTTGCGTATCTCATAGCCGCCTAAGCCCGAATTCTATCTACCCACCTTCTTTGTGCATGGAAGCTTCTCAGAAAAGCCTCGGATGAAGGACAGCATCATGCAAGGCTTGCTCCGTGAATTCCTTGTTGACTTAGCGCACGTTATCAACTCTGAATAGACGCCACTCGAACGTCCCAGGCGGCTCTGCGTAGATTGGCAGTCGACGTGGTGAAAGGTGGGAGGCCTTTTAGTGCAGATAGGACCTCACAAGGTTTGTAGCGCCGACGCGTACTTCGAGACGAGGGCACCCGATTACGGAGTCACAATTATTTCCTGCCACACTGAACCAAACCTTCGCAGCCTGTGCCCCACGCGACTGCTGTTTGCAGAACTCCCGTTCTTGCCAGCATCATATTGAATCTGGGGTAAATCTGGGGAGAGCGCGAGCTAAACACTTTCTTGCTGGCTGAAAAGAGCGCGATGTGTAATGCCAAGCTTGGTGCTGCAACGTTGTGGCGGAGATGCACGCTCCGACATGCACGAGGTTGGGATGATAGACCTCGTGAACGTTCTGGCTGACTCCAGAACCGACGGAAAACGTTGGCCAGGAGGCCTGACCGAAACTGCAATTAATAATGCCGTGCACTTCCCGGTGCCAAGGTGGCCATCCGAGAAGGAGAAAAAGACTTCGAGAGCCAATCCACACTCTCAGTGTCACTACAAGGCAAGAAACACTACATA